CCACCCCACCCCAAATGCACTCCACTATGCAACCTTAATTCTGGATTCCTGTGATAATCATAATATGCTATTATATATCACTTTCAAACTGTTCTCTCCTTCATCTGTTTCAATTCAGTATACATAATCGATCCAGTTTTTCTCAGTTTTACCCCAACCCTGATGGCAGTCACTTTCTACAACAGGGGCACCATGCAGTATTTGTCCTTTTGTGACTGAGATATTTTACTCAGCATAGTGGTTCTTAGAGGCAAAGATGATAAAGCTTCATCTCGCGTGTCCCTAGGAGATATGTCCAAGGGACATCATGCTTGGAAAGTCAGTGCAGTAATGACTGCAAATTCCACATGAATTCCAAATGAAAAATGAGTGTTGGAGGAGTTTGGATTAGCCTGGAAGACTTGCTGGGGGCTTCCAAGATGTGGTGGTTCTGGAAAGGATGCCATGGATGTGGGTTTGTGGAGGGAAGAGAAAGTGGAGTGCCTGCTGGTGATGTTGTGCTTTGGGTAACACACACACAACGCGCGAAGGGAGTGACTCTGAAGAACAAAAATCCATTTTCTTGTAGTTCTTGAGGCTTTTAGCCATGTTGGTTCTCTTCTTGTGGGCTGCCTCTTGATTTACTGCTGTTCCTGGCTGGTCACTCACATGGCATCTACCATCCGCCTGGCATGTGTCTCTCTCTGAGATCTGATCAGAGATCTTTATCTAACTCAGCAATGATAAGGTAGGATTCATACTGCGTTGCTATGACTTCATTAACACAACAGAGGAAAACCCTTGTTTCCAAGCATGACCACTTCCTCGAGCACAGGGACCAGGATTTCTGCACGTATTTGCGTGGGAATGAAGCATCCTTCAATCCTTCACACAAGCTGAGTCTGAGCTGCTTCCCCAGCGAGCCCCCTGAAGGCGCTCTGGGTTCTGTTCCACTCCTGATAGGGGTGCTAATGGTTTTGTTCTGGTTGAACCCCTGCTGAAAAGTTATACTTCCACCCCACACAGACTGGATTAAAATCTGCATCTTAACAAGATCCCCAAGATCCTTATATACACACTCAGGAGACCCTTATTTAGTGTGTGCCACTTCCTTGAACTTCTTAATGCTACATTTTTACAAATTGAAGGTTTGTGGCAAGCCTGCATTGTGCAAGTCCATTGGTGCAGTTTTAAAATACTCATTGTTTTTAATTCATATCATTGATTGTTTATTGAAAAAATATTTTTAATTTGTGCAAATTTTTACATATCATATTGATTTTTCATTAAATCATTTATGTATATTTTGTTTAATAACATTAATTGTTATTGTTGTTAGGTGTAATCGAGTTGCCCAAGACTCATAGCATCCCTTTGTACAATAGCTCTGAACCCTGCCCTATCCTGAGCCAGTCTCACTGTCTCTGACACACCTGTCCCCATTACCCCAGTCACTATGTCAACCCATGTTATCCAGGGTCTTCCTCTCTTGCCTTGTCCCTCCACTCTTCCAAGCATGATGTCCTTCTCCAAGAACTGGTCTCTTCTGGCCACATACATGAAGTATGTGAGACAGAGCTTAAAATCCTTGCCTACAGAGAGTAACTTGTTTTCACTATCTCCAGGACAGACCCGTTCTCTTGGCAGGCCATGGTATGTTCAATACTCTCCTCCAGCACCACAACTCAAAGGCATCAATTCATTAATTACATGTGATAAATACATCGAGAGGAAGCTATGGTGGTTGGTCTAGTGGTAAGACTCTGCATCGCAGTCCCAAAAGCACAGTTGAATCCACCAGCTGCTCCACGGGAGAAGGCTGGGCAGTCTCCTCGCATGTGATTTAC